AGGACCGGCGAGTACCCCGTTCCGCCTCTACCATTTTGCCCCCGAGGATAACCCTCCTCCTCCATACGAGGCTCCGCCTCCATACGAGCCGCCCAGACCCGTTGCAACTGAGCAGAGCTTCTGAAAGGGATGTCTACTGACTGACTGCGCTTGAAAAGGCCTGCTCCAACAGTGACGAGCTTGGGCCTCTTCGCGGCGCTGTTGACTAGTAGCTCCAACATGGAGTGAAGCTAACACAAGCTCAATTTGTACATAATCAAGATTCGTACTGCATACATCCAATACCACACAAATGAAGAAAAGAATTCACATAAAGGTGCTCCGTTGAATTATTCCGTGTCCTCGGGTACATAGCCAGGGCTTGTTCACCCCTGAGCTGAGCAAAAGCATCGTCATTCAACTCGGGAGTCGAGCAGTTTGACTTGAGCTAATAGGCCATTCATTCATCGCAGACACATTGATCTCGACTCGATCGTCATAAATGGTTTCCTCGGTGTGCTTCCGATTGATGGGTCTTCTCTTGAAACTCCGGCTAGGCTTGAGCGATAGGCAATGGGAAAATCGTTGTCCGATTCCAGTACAGGTACGGCAGAAGGCAGTGCGTGTGCCTAAATAGGGCAATTTCTATCATGAGCCTTGCGGATGCAGTCGTAGCACTTGTTCTGCTCTTTTTCGAACGGGCCGCACTTTTTCGTCATGTGTCGCTCTCTTGTGACACCTGGACACGGCTTACTCCATATCGATGAGCTTATGTATTTCGAAAGAATGTGAGATGTGTGCGCGAAGACATTTGACATCTGACGACGTACTGGCATTGACTGGAATGGCCGGGGTTATGGCGTAAAAGCCGATGTTCAGTGTGTGACAGCAACCGGAATGATGGTAAAAAGAGGTGCAGCGATGGAACTCATTCAACTTCGAATGGGAACAAAATCCCAGCTGATTACTCTAGACTTCGTAAGTACACCTGGGCAGCAGAATTAAGCTGCTGCCAAGGCTTTTCCCATACTTGATTGACGCCTGTCAGTTCCACCAGTGGATCTACAGTACAATCAACATATTCTGTGAGGCTTCCTTGGTCTAAATGGAGTGTTGACGAAGTGGATCTTTTCATGAGCTAAAACAAAAAACAAGAATCATAAGACCGCACTTAAGCGACTTGTCATGAGATGATGGGCGCTAAGGCGTCATGGTAAAAGGGAATCCCATAATGTACATGCCCATGACTGATCCATCCGACTGCGGAGGAAGGCAGTAACATTGAAATAAAAGCAAAATTGCAAAGCAACCCGGTTCCAGAACCCATTGATATTGTAAAGCAAACCCATCATGTATCGCCGATTGTCATGATAAGATAAAAAGAAAACCCCATGATCGCCTATCGAAAAGCCAGCTCCTCAAAAGAAGAAAATTAAGAGCGCTCATCACGGAGGCGGCGGGCAAGCTGGATGTCCTTGGACTGGATAGTGACACGCTTGGCGTGGATAGCGCACAAGTTGGTGTCCTCGAAGAGGGAGACGAGGTAGGCCTCAACGGACTCCTGGAGAGCACCGATGGCAGAGGACTGGAAGCGGAGGTCGGACTTGAAGTCCTGGGCGATCTCACGAACCAGACGCTGGAAGGGGAGCTTGCGGATCAGAAGCTCAGTGGACTTCTGGTAGCGACGGATCTCACGAAGAGCGACGGTACCTGGGGTGGACTGTTAGTGTGATGTCCCATGATGGTGGACTGATGATGGAGAACATACCGGGCTTGTAGCGGTGAGGCTTCTTGACACCTCCGGTGGAGGGGGCGGCCTTGCGGGCAGCCTTGGAAGCGAGCTGCTTGCGGGGAGCCTTGCCACCAGTGGACTTACCTATAGAAGTTGTTAGTGATCATGTTTGGAGAAGACGCGTCGTGCACAGCTCGACGTCACATGATCGGTGCAAGACGCGACCGAGTGAAGAAGCAGTGACGGTGAGGTCGAAAGCTGGGGGAGGCGACGATGTAATCGTCAGCAGATATACTTACGGGCAGTCTGCTTAGTACGAGCCATCTTTAATGATGAACTTGGAAGGTTGGTTGATGAAGAAGGTTGTTGGAGTGGATGAGAAAGGGAAGAGAAGGAGGGGCGGGGGGGAAGTATTTGTAGGGGGCGAAGGGGGGAGTGATCTGGGAGTGACGGGGTGGACGAATCAAGGGACGTGCCTTCAGATCAGAATCAGTGCGCAGGAGCCTGCGTACACCAGAGCCTGATTTGCACTATCTTCTGATTCGCTGCACCGGATCAAAGCAGTTGGCTCTGGGGCTAAGCGAGTTCTTGGCCAATGAGCGACCAGGATCACGGAGTATAGAATGCTCAACTTTACATTCCTGATCTTACTCGCAAAGGAGGCTGGAATTGAGATCAAGCCTTTCAATGTTATTCAGGAAGCTTTAATGAGTCTATTCCGATAGTTTTATGACTAGAATTACGTGGTTGGTGGCGTACCGAACGAGGATCAGAATCTGCCTACGGCAAGTTGGTGTTCCAATTCTGGGGTCGCCGGTAGATCAGAGCAGGTCCGTGATCCTGAACGCTCATTGGTCGGCCCCATTCCTAGCGCGTGATTTCCCGGTCGTCTCGCATTCCCGTCCTCATACAAATATCCCACTCCCCAATCCTCTTCAGAGCTTCTTCTTTCCATCAACTCCACGACCTTTTGGTTACTCCACATCACTCAACCTTCAAACACAAACTTCATTAATCCACATTCAAAATGTCTGGCCGTAAGTTATCCACTTCATCACTGCTTCTTTTCGAAACGCGTTCTAACGCGTCTCTTCTTAGGTGGAAAGGGTGGCAAGGGACTCGGAAAGGGTGGTGCCAAGCGTCACCGCAAGATTTTGCGTGACAACATCCAGGGTATCACCAAGCCCGCTATCCGTCGTCTCGCACGTCGTGGTGGTGTCAAGCGTATCTCCGCTATGATCTACGAGGAGACCCGTGGTGTCCTCAAGACCTTCCTCGAGGGTGTCATCCGTGACGCTGTTACCTACACTGAGCACGCCAAGCGCAAGACTGTCACTTCCCTTGACGTTGTCTACGCTCTCAAGCGCCAGGGCCGTAAGTTTTCAGCGCGTCTTTTTCTTGATCAACCCATTTCTAACCCATCTTCTTGCAGGTACCCTCTACGGTTTCGGTGGCTAAACATTTTGTGCTTTTTCTTTTCCGGCTGGTTTACGGTATGACGGGACGTTGGGGTGTTCTCTGATTTATTTTACTACAATCGTCATGGGTCTCTGGGTTTGCTTTTCATAACACTCGATTACCACTATTGCGCGTCCACTACGGGTCTGCTAGTGTTCGCTTCTGAGCATTTCTGTATCATAGCGGCCTTTCTTCATTACGGCTCGCACCATGGACATGGTGGGATCAAGCACTCAAGTGCGGTCCGATACGAATACAATCAAAACTTGATTAAACAATTCATCTACTCTTCCTGGTATTCTGTAGGTTAGCTCTTGTTTGTTTATGGTTCGACGCGTCGGCTTGTATGTAATTTTGTTTTGTTTCAATGTTTTATTTGGTGTTCTGCATGTGGTGGGGCTGGGCTAGACGCGTTTTCTACTGTGTTGTACTTCCACAGCTGTGTACTAGGTTGCCGACCGTAGAATTGCTTGCAGTATTTTCTGGCTGTCCGGATGTTGAGCTCTTGGTGTCACTGATTCTGGTTTGACTTACTGCAAACTGTACCCTGTACTCAAGTACTTGGTGTCATTTGGTCATTGTGGTTCAATACTTTTCTCCTGCAAGAGTGACACCTACATGCTTCACTCTGCAGGTTCAGAGTAATGCTGTGTGGTTGATAGATTTACCAACATGATAGTACTAAGTATTGTGTAACGTGTACAGCCCTTTCGTTTTTCTGTAGTTTGTGGCGATTCGAAAAATTTGCTTAGTAGATGATTGAGTAGGAAAAATGGTGGGTGTTGTGGTTAATATGTGGTAGAGTGTTCATGATATATAACAGATGGAGGTTACCAAGCAGTACTGCACATTCACCAACCAATTTTAAGACTACCGGACTCAATTTAGCTGAGTTTTATTCAATGTGGGAGTACGCATATATAACAGGAATAACTGGAATTAATTTAAAGCATGCAGATAAAGTCCCTGTGGCCTTTCAATGTCGAGACTGAGGTCAAGCAGGATAATGACAAAGCAAAGTTGAACCCCCCAAACGGGAAGTTCAACTTTTCTTGGCATACACACCAGGACTACCTCCGACCAGCAAGGACTCAAAACCAACACAGTCAGCATGTTTGGAGACACCGTGAATAGAAAAACCATGGCCAAATATACTACACCACCCGGGACAGGATAAAATGTCAGAAAATTGCCCAAGTCTGCGGTCGCAGTTGCACATCAATGCGGAGGTTCAACTCCTCTTGGCACCATCGGATGACCAGACCACATAGAGTTGAGACCAACCAGTCTTTCTGTGTCAATATAAAGCTGTCATAGTCTTAGCTCCACAATGATCACACAAAAAGCGATTTCACGCGGACCGGGCTGTGTCTGTGCCCGGAGAGCTTCAACCAAGGCGAGTTTGATGCACCCTGCCATCTGGGGCGACCAAAGCCTACCTGACAGAGTAGGAAAGCGCGGGGCTATACCGACTTCCATCTCGCCCAAAGGCCACGCTGGGTATACGCGTCCTAACCGCCTTCAGGGCAGAATAAGCTATCCTACGCGCTTGTATTGGAAAGTAACATTACTTTTCCAACTCTCATTTTAACACCCAATCCCCAAAGACAGCAACGCTAGTCAACTCGACCACTCCCAAACACACCGAACAATCAACCACCGAGCCTCCACATCCGTGTCAATACCACACACCATGTCACACCGATACCCATGGGAAGACCTACACTGGATGCAAGACCGATACTCAAGGGAAGAGGACCTGGTGAGGCTCATGGAAAGGTATGGCACATACAGTCTCCAATAGAACAGAGCCTTCTAACAGGAACAAAGTATGAGACTCGACTCGGCCCATAGCGACCTCACCATCATCTGCGGGACGAAGAAATACGCCGTGCACAAAGTCGTCGTCTGCAATCAGTCGAAATTCTTTGAAAAGGCCTGCAACTGTGGATTTGAGGTAACCTCAGCACAAGAGACAAGCACACCAGTGGATTATCTGACCCCATTGCTATAGGAAACGTACACGGATCAGATATTTCTCCACGAAGACCCGGTATTGGTTGATGCGATGATGATTACATGTATTCTCATGACTACAAGGCCAAAGAGCCTCCAAATCAAGACCAACCTGCTGCTCTTGATGACCCCACGAAGCTCATGGACGAAACCAAGAAAGTGGACGCCAATCAGACGACTCCTGGGACGACCGACGACTCAGTTCATATCACAGACCCCACAATATTTCATATCCTGATGTACTCCCTCGCAGACAGACTGATGATGGAGCCATTGAAGAACCTCTCAAGTCCAAGGTTGAGAAGCAACTGCTTCACCGGTTCCACCCCACAATATTCCCGATGGCAATCAATGCAATCTACAGATCCACACCCGCATCTGACCGTGGTCTCCGGGACATGATAATAACGATCACCACACACAATATCAGAGAACTGAGACAGATTGAACCGCAGATACCCTTTTCAGAAATCCTGTCTGAGAACCTACAGTTCTCGTCTGATCTCTGCCTGGCTTTTATGGACTTATACACACCAGAGCTGGGGTGTACTTTGTGGAACCGCATTCGATTCACAAGGACCATGATCCCCAACCAACCTGAGGAACAACCTGATTTCAACGGGGATGTTTAATTGCAAACCCTGTGTGTATTTTACATAGTTAATTCACATGATTACTATTCCGTACAACAAGGAGCAGTAGCTAGTAATAATGCATCAGACTTTTCGCACATATTTTGACGATCCCATACTTCGCTCTCATTGGCCAGGATCGTACTGACTTCGTCAAATTCCTGTTCCCCATTGATGTACTTCACTGAATGTCTTATGAGGGGATACCAATGGTTATGGAGCCCGAGGACCACACCGAAGACTACTGTCCAGATTGAAGTAGCCAGAGAAAAAAAGTCAAATCACACAATCCATTTGATTAAACAAGGCCTTTCATCAAAACGGTTCCTTAATCTAAAGCCGATAAACCGTGGATTTCGAACAGTCTAACAGCCAGGGAATGTTTGGCAGTGGTACCCATATGGCAGCACTCACGAGCCAAGTGCTCTACGAGTAGTATTCGTGAATCGGAGATCACATCACAGAATCCAGGTACCCGCTTTAAATATCCCTAATGCGGTTGAGTACTTTCGATTGGCTCTCGGTGGGGATACCGAAGAATGCAACGCCGATCTCTGGAATGCGACCTCAAAAAAGTCATGATGTCGAAAACCCCATCACGCTGTCTATTCAAGGCATTGGGTATTTCTTTTCAAGTGAAAGCTGGTTTTGGCCATGGATTGCGTTGGTCGCTTCAATTTCCCAAGTTTCCACTTTTTTTTTTTTTTTTTTTTTCTTATTTTGCTGTGCTGCCCAAACTCGGGTAATACTTTTCTTGGGGTTCTACAGTAAAGTCGACAGTTTTTATTTTATTTACTTGATTTTGACAGTGTTTAAATTT